AGAACACTAGCGTAATACTCGCCTACCTTAGTGCGGACTAGAATAGAGAAGTATAGATCTAAACCCCGTGTAACAGCTAGTAACTAGTAGTTTGAGCCTAAAAGCTTTAACAGACTATTATAGAACGAACGAGAGTATTAATATATAATTTTAAAAGATTAAACATATATATCTTTATATATAAGAATAGATCTTATTAAGAAACTATATAAGTCCCTAGAATATAGATATGTAGAAATTAAAAAAATAGTTAGATAACTAGCTAAGGTGTTTACGATACTACGCTTACGAGCAAAGGTATAGGAAATACTAGGTAACTATTTAGTATATTATTAGAATAAGCCTAAGAGACATAAGCTCTACGGCCTGCTATAACTCTTATAGCCGCTATCTAGGCTATAGATAAGCGTAACGATAGACTTTATAGTAAAGCTTCTAAGATTATTAGAACTAAGGTTAGCTTAATTTTGCGACATAATCTTAGTAATTATAGATTAATTAACTAAAGTAGCAAAATTTATATCTATAGAAGAGACTATTATAGTAGAAGAATGCGCGTACGAAGTCTAGAAAGCACTAATATTAGAATACAGAATACCTAAAGAGTTTATTACTAATTATAATAAACTATTTACGTCTAAATACTAGAGTACACTTCTAGTAAAGTTAGGTGTTAAGAAGAAGCTATTAACGAGCTTTTACCTAGAAATAGACAGCTAGACAGAACGTACGAACTAGACATTAGAATAGTACTTATAGATATACGCTAATAAATTATAGAATAACTAGGTAGAGTTACTACTAATAGCGTAATTAGTCTATAATAGTACGAAATCTATAATAATAAAGCATTCGCCGCACTACGCGAACTATAGATATAAGCTAATCACTTATTAAGATCTAAAAGATATTAAGAGTATCGTAGTAGGTGTAGATAATAAAGCGAAGCTTATGCAAGAATTACACGAAGAATTAAGTAAGAATATAGCTTAACGGAACCTTATAATATCTAAAGTAGTAAATAAACTAAGAATTAAGAGACTAACTTTTAAGAAGGGGGATAAAGTTTTCTTATTATAATAAAACCTAAAAACTAAACGACTATATAGAAAATTAGACAACCTCTAAATAGGACTGTTTAAAGTCCTAGAGGTAATAGGAAAAGTAAACTATAAGTTAAAACTCCTATAAGGTATGTGAATTCACTCTATCTTTTATAAGAAACTTCTAGAACTAGTACCTCTAGATACTGAGCTAGTAATGGATATAGAGCTTAAAGACGACGAGTATAAGATTAAAGAAATTAAAGACCTACGGAAAATTAGTAGTTAGTAGAAGTACTTAGTTAAGTAGCAAGGATAGCCCGAAAGCCATAATACTTAGGAACCTAAAGAAAACCTAACGAATTATAAGTCACTAATATGTAAATACTACTAGAAGAACCTAGAGAAGCGAGGGGTAGCCCCTTAGGGAAAAGGAAGGAATAATTAAAAGAAGAATCGAAGAAGTCAGCCTATAACTAGCCTAGATTAGCTAACGGTTCGGATAGTAGTAGTTCGACAACAGAAAGGCCCGTACCTAAGGCAGAGTTCCTCTCGGCCTACTCTTTCGCACGGTCTTAAAGGTTTAAAATAGCAAGGTCCTAATTAGTAAACTCTTACTCTCGAGTCTTAGTCTCTAGAAGCTTATAACGAAGCCGCGAAGTTTCTGTAGCAGCATAGGAGGCCTTAGTAGTAGCTAGAGCTTAACGCTCCTTAGCGCGCGTAATCTTTAACCGTTTCCTGCGCTTCTTAGCCTAAACTTTCTCCTACTCCTTCTTAGACACGAAAAGGCTGTACGCAGTAATAATAGAAATATAACTAGTATAGCGCCTAGTAGTAGTATCTATAAAATAATAAAGGTTCTTCTCTTTATAACGCTTATAACGAAAAGTTATTTCGTTCCTCTACTCTTTTATATAGTTAGCATAAGCGCGGCGCTTAGAAGTTAAGTCCTAGGCACGAACACGGCGGGAAGATTAAACCTTAGGCATAGTTAGGAAGGCTACGAGGTAGAGACGGCTACAACGAGTGGGCGGGCTCTAACCTTATATATAGCCGGCGTCTTAACACGTAGTATAGGACAATAATATTCTAGGGTATTAAGATAATAGCCCTAAGAGGGGAGGTAATGTTATAAGTAATAAGAAGGATTCTCTTCTTAACAAACGACGAGACGGCTAAAGGCCTATAGACGTCCACGTTAGAAGGTAATAATTATCGCAGGGCGAGGATCACGTAATTAACATCACGCTAAGACGACCGTCAGGCGCTAGTATATAATAGCAGCAATCCTCTAATGGCAGCTATTAGGGATATCAGGCCAAGACGTCGGAAATCATGATAGCAGTAATGGCAGGACTAGAAGCAATAAGGATATAAGGATGGATAGATTTTATTCTTTACTCTCGTTATAGTCAACTCAAATTATACTTTCTTACTAGTTACTTTACTTAATAAGATTATTACCTATTAGTCTATTTAATATAGATTAGTAGTTGTCGAACTTTTTGTTACCTTCTATTTAAGCACACCACTCCACTGCATCGCCAGACAAACTCTCACGGAACACTAGCGTAATACTCGCCTGCCTTAGTGCGGACCAGGACAGAGAAGTATAG